GTTCTCACACTTTTTAAGTGAGAAAAAATATATTGTTCATGGTTTAGAAATGTATTTTCACATCGAAATTAATGGGTGTGACATAGAAAAAATTTAGAAAGGAAAGGGTTGTAATTTTTTATTTGAAAGAGGAAGAAAGCTGTAAGGGCAAAAATGCAACTGTGGTTATCTTTGAAGTATTTGCATCAAACCTAACTCGAAAGATACATCTTGCAGCCAAAGGATTTGAGGTAAGCAAGTTTCAGAGGTTGAAATGTAGATGTAGATGCAGTGTGTTTGATGTCCAGTACAGGTGTCGAACATGATACATTTTGCACACACTATACTAAGTGGCCATCCATCCCCCCTACTGACTGATGAATAAAGGATTTTTACACAACAACAATAGAAACATTCCCAGACAAATGGAATGGTGCGTGTGTGTGATTGCCGTGTGGAATGAAATATTTCTGTCGGATATTCCGAAGAAATGTGACCAGTTTTGCGGCGTGATCAGAGCCAGTATTCGGGCAATGTCGCCTAGTATTTAGACCTGGTTAGAAGATGTGCTTTTTAATCGGCAGAAGAGTTTGGAAATGCAAGTGGGGTAAGATTGCGTACATGCTTGTCTGTCTACAATTCTTACCTTTTGGCAAGATATTTTTTGTACGTGACAAATACATGGAGGTCAGCTGGGACAGAAGCTAGAAGGGTGGAAATCACCACTTAATTTTTTCTATCAAGGTTGACGGATTGGTTTAAAAAAATTTCCATCACACGCCACAAAGTTCCTGCAGTCGACGCAAAAACGGGTGCTGGCTAGAGCCCTGGTATGTGAAGATTTTTGTTTGTAAATGAATAAAAGGAGGTCAGCTGAAGATACCTCTGCAACAGGTTGAGACGACTGTTAGCTTTACTTTTATTAGACCCACTCCTCCCTTGGGGTAGAACCCGGCAAATGTGTACTATCAGTGTTAAAACCTTTGCTCATTTGCATGGCCGGGGAATTGACTGCACATCGACGGGAAGCGGCCAGAAATCTTTCGGGAAGGGCCACGGCACCGGGATAATTACCAGGGCAGGCGATATGAAAGCTCCGCCGCCATCCAGGCCTTGTTACATTTCAATTATCTTCCTACCATCAACTATCAAAATGCAAATTTGATGGAGTGAGTATTTGGCGGGCGGACAGTAGGGCCCGGTAATTTTCCGTGCATCTGCGCAGGCTAATGGTCAGCTCGGGACTGACCAGCCGCCCGCCAAAAGGGCCCGAAAGGCGGGGGCTTCAAGGGAAGAGTTAATTCAAATATAGACGGGTTGGCGGCATAGGGCTGTAAGTTTGGCACAAGGGCGCCCTTGTAATTTCGCCCCTCTAAATGTGCAGTCCACTCTAGGGGAAGAAATAAAAAGCAGTAAAAGGCCACCGGCCTGCCCTTGTGTCTGCTTCGCTGTTAACCTTTTCTCCATTCAAGCGTCTTTCAAAGCCTCAAATTCAGCCACTTGTAACTTCCCCGTCTTCTGATCTCCAGATCTGCTCAGTCATAAAAGGTTTACAAAGTCATTTTTCAATATTGGGGAGAGATCTCTCCGCTGCCTCGCCTTCCTGTTTTCCGCCATGCCTCTAATGCCGTCTGTTGGAAATGCCTTTGGACTGGAGAACTTGTGAGAACTTTTGCAGCTCTGTAATGTTGTGCAGTCAAAAACTGGGGGTAGCTAAAGAGCATTTGCGTGTTGAAAGTTTACAGTGTTTCAGCAGGTAATCTGGGTACAAATTGGTCTGTGAGCGCACCCGGGCTGTATTCTCCGCTCAGCTCTCTGATCAGGATGTCACGGGTAGAGCCTGACTTTGGGCGCACACCAGACAAAGTGTCCGCAAATTTATCCTCCCCACGACTTCAAAGTTGCATCGGACGGACTAGTTTTCCCTGGCAATCTAGCGAGCTAGCCGCCGCGTATCTGTGTATGAATAATTCCTTTGACATGAGAACCGACGCCATGGTGGACTCGGTACCCTAAAATGAGGTGTCCTTTGAGCTGGCAACTTCGGGCCTCACCAAAGTTGTCGAGGGTCTTTCTTCTTCCCTTCCCCCGGTGAAGAAAGGTCTGTAATAATCCTCACTCTTTCTCAGGAAAGGCAAGCTGGCTAATGAAGGGCCAATTGCAGACTAATGAAGGACTATCGGGGTTCAATCGTGGCCAATGATTTCTCTGTAACGTTTCTTTGCCTCCCCCACCTTACATCGTCTTTCCCATATAATTGGTCCATTCGGCTCCTTAGTCTACCTCTCTGGTCTGAGGGTGCTAGGCGCACTTAAGGCGAGCGGACTCCTTTCACCAGTCCGAGCTTCCCTTCGATGCGGGCTTGAGGGTGTGCTTCATCAGACGGACGAAGGGTCTTGAGGATTGTCTCCTGTCAATACTCGGGAGACTTTCTTGTGTCTTGTGGGGTGTTTGCGCAGTAAGTATGAAAGACGAGCGGCCGGCACGCTTCCATCTGATTTCGTCTTTGTTCCGAGTCTTTTTCCGTTCTCCATCTTGTTTTTTTTTGGTGGACGAGTTCTTCGATTTGCCGCAGGGTTTTCTTGCGTTGGACTGGGCAAATAGCTGCATACTTCGAAAAGCAATTGGACGCCCACGGTCCTTTCTTCTGTTGATGTTGCCTCTTTGTATTAAGAAAATTTTTTTCTTCAACTAGGAGGTTACTACCTTTGTCCTCATAATCATATTACTGGAATAATAAGTAGTCTGGTCCTCCCTTTATAAGTCTGGCGTATTTGTAGAATATACATTTTAAACATAAGCTGCGTGTAAAGCTATTTGATTGTGTGTGAAAAAACATGAGTAGGGCAGATTTGTGAGTTATGGCGGCGAGAAAGGTGTGAATCAAGCCTGGTCCGACATCGAGTAAGTAAAGATCTTTGTGTACACTCTCAATAATCAACTGTTGATCATTATGTCTTCCTAACGTTTCTAAAAACCATGGGAGACTGAAAGCGACTACTCGACGTGTCAAGACAGGTTGAAAAGAATTTTTTCCCAAAGGGGTGATTTTACTCAAAAGGAATGAATTTTTCTTTGATCAGCGATACTGTTTGCAGCGGCAAAATGCAAGGAGCAGTTATTTCATTTATCGTAACCCATATGGTACAATTTAACCGAGTGGGCTTGACTAAGCCATTGAGACAAATGCAGAGGATGGTACTTGGAGGATAATTTGGCCAACAGCGATGTTTGTGTAAGTGTTTAAAGGCTCTGATGTTCCGTACACGACCATCTAATCAAGTCATTTGGCTTCATCATCTGTTGTAAAAAGCTTTACTGCATTACAGTTCTACGTTTGAAATCAAATAAAATGAATCAGTTGTGTCATTTGCCTTCTTTCTAGATGTGATTTGCAGATTTATGTGTTGATTTTGTGGTCATTGCTGCAAGATAATCCACAATCAAACAATGATAAAAGTGGAATGTTACTGATACATTTTGTGCTATGAAAGAGGTTTTAACTGTAAATGAGAAGGACATTTCAATACCAGTGATGATTGTATGTAGAATTCTTGTTAAACTGTCAGAATTTCTGACAACGTTTCATCTATAGCGAAATTGCAAACTCCAGTAATACTAATAGTGTTGAGAACTAAGGATAAGACTCCATGGCAGAAACTTCAACTTTTGTGTGTTGGTGTCTTATTTCCAGGTTAAATCATATCAGAAATACTTCGTAAAATTGCGGTATGACTGCCTGTATGTTTTTAATCCATTAAACAGACTGTTTTCATAGTTTCTTGTATCTACTATGAAGTAGTTTAGAAGTGTTATTGTTGTCTACATTTGTCCGAGCACATGTTTTTGGATGCGACAACCCGACACTCTTACTGTTGAACATACAAGTCATTTTTTGCTATTTAAAAAAAAGCAAAGGAAGTTAGATGTGTATGTTTTCCTTGACTCGACTCAAAGTAGTTCTAAATCGCGCTCTTGCAGTACTCGAACGTTGTTTTTCGATGTGGCTTTTCGATAGAGCGGTAGTCGGTACTGGTCCACGTCTCGTCAAATCCCTCGCATTAGCAGAAAAAAAACACAAGACCGTACAATTGTCCCCTCTCGTTTGTCTAACGGTATCAAATGTTGCCGGAGAAAAGCAGGGAAAGTGGCTTGTAAAGTCCTTCAAAGGGGGAGACACGGACGATGCTGGTTGAATTTTCGCCCCCGGGCGCCAACAGGTCAGCATATGTCTTTGAGTCCCCTTTGATGTCGGCCATTAATACAGCGAGCGAAGTCCAGGCCTCCAGCATCAGTGACCCTAGATTGGAACCTCCGCCTTTCTGGACAAAAGTATTGGAAATATCAGACAGGAGAAATAGCTTTAAAATACTGACAAAAGTACCCCGGTGTCAAATGTCATAGCATAATGTGCCGGCGAGGATGGAAATACTATCTGTGGGCTACAGGGGAACACGGTAACAGCCTTTCCAAAGGCTGCTCGGCGCTTCCGACGCTGTGTTCTAAGGGATGCCGATAGTGCTATTACCTTTCAGCGAAAGTCTTGCGGCTTCTACCGACGTAGATAATGGCAAAGCAATCGTTGATTGTGCCTTTTGATATATCGAATGTAATCCGGTGCAAGCATCCTTTAAAAGGGCCTGGCTGATACAGTCCCCACACATGCCCTTTCTGTTGGATGATTTGAAGGAACAAGTGGTAAAAGTGTTGCGCAGTTGCCACTCACAGTTTTTGTTTCATCAGATCGACTGCCGTGATACTCGCCCTTTGATTTTGCAGGGTGCGACTTTTGCAGATGTTGCTTCTTTGCTGCGCGCAGTGAAATCTGTTCCCCCATCCCTCTCAGTACTGTTGTTTTGTTTTCCTTTGTACGTACCTCGCTTTAATCGGGATAATTTGCCCGAAGTAACAATTATTCCTATTTCAATGCCCCTTTCATTTCTTAAAAGCTCGTTTGATATCGGCTGCAAGGAAGTAGCTTTCTAACACCGTTCCTCGTCTTTGTTTTTTTCCCCGCGCAGTCGAACAAAGTCTCGGTTGTACACGGTCCCCCACATCCTGGGCCTCTAACGCAATTGATGATGTATAGCAACGAGCACTTTGCACCGGGCACACCACCGCACATAGGGGTCCCGCCAAACTCCATAGAAGTCGATCCCAAAACAGGTAAGCCTCTTTCCTCTGTTTTTCTCAAGTTTGTGAGAAATGCAAATTGATAGTATCTTCTATTACATGTATATCGATGTTCTGTAGAGATGTTGATGTAATGAAAGATATTAGTGGGGAAAGAAAATGTTTCGTTCTGTGGTACATTTTATTCAGTTCAAATTTCCACAATGTTCAATCTTGGTGTTGTAAGATGTAATCTTCTGTTTTCTTGACTTTGTGAGAACCGCGAATTGATAGTATCTTCAATTATATCGATGCTCAGTACAGATGTTGATGTAACAAAAGATATGATGGAAACGAAATGTTTTGTTATGTGGTACATTTTATCCCATTCAAATTTCGACAATGTTCAATCTTGGTGTTGTAAGATGTAATCACTTGTCAAAACCATGCAGGTAAGTGTAGACAAACATGATTTAGGAATATGTATTTTACGACTTGTTATTTGGTAGACAAATGTTTGAATTCTACTTCTAACCATACCCGATGTACATTGTATGAATCCCAGTTAGATCAGAAGATGTAGTAGCATTGATACAGTTGATCATATTATGGCAAAGCTTTTGATATTTTAATTTCAAAGCTGGGTTCAAAGGATATCTGTAAAGTGAAGTAGTTGATTTGGCTTTACTTTGTGGCGAAGGTTGCTTAAAAGAGTTTGTGTGCTTTTCTATTATGGACATAAAAGCTGGACCTAGTCAGATCAAAATTTTCGTCTTATGTCCAGTTAGTTTGTGCTATCTGCCTTCCTCAAACTTCAGAAGCTTCTGCTAGTTATGGCTGGAGTTGTAGGGCTTGAAATACTGGGCGCAGGTATACTTTTGTGCATCCAAACTTGGAGCTATGCGCTTGGAGTATGTAATTTAAGGTATCATAATTGCAGAAGTGTCGGAAAAAATAAGACCTGTCTTCTATTGAAATATTTGAAATTTTAAAGTTAGCTATAGATTTCAGATTTCAGCTTTGAAGAGAGAGAGAGTAAAGTTTGTAATTTTTGTTTCCCCCGACAGTCTACTGTGTTGTGAAACTACGTTGTGCACCCAACTTTTTTTTCTGTGCAGCCTGATTTTTAGAATACGTGCACAAGATCCCCTCCTAAAAAAACAAATTTTGAGCCCAATGATTTCTCTGAGCAATGTTTCATCCAGGTGGCAGCAAGAAGATTTGTGTACCGAGTGCTCATAATCATAGGGTGTTGGTTTATTGATTAGTTGGGGTAATGGAAGAAGACGGAAAAGGGGAGTGTGAGAAATTTGCGATCCTAACCCACCCTGATAAGACTGTGGCTACCTGTACAAATTAATGGCACGGAATGAAGCAGTGGCAAGCATTGATTGCTGCCACGGGTTTGTCACACGGCCTGGCGAAAACGCCGGGCGACATCAAAGCCAGGCCGTTGAGACAGGGTTAACGAGGGCTCGGTTTGGTGGTCCGCTAATGACCACCATCCATCAATACACGTCAACGTGGAGCCACGATGTTTCGTGTTTCCATCAATAATACACACCGGCGGAAAAAAAAGGTAGTCTCATCTCTTACGATAGTACGACACCGGCCGCTAATGGCAGCGGAGAATGTTTTAGTCAGTCTGGGTTGGAAACGTCGAGAGACCATCATCTGAGAGAATCCCAACCACCAGTGGACAGCGCTGGCGTCAGTGTCTGTCAGATCTCCAAGGGTTTATCCTCACTTGCAGATAGACAGCGAACTTCTAGCCACCAGGCAGCGCACGGATTAGGGGTTAAAACCTGGAGGAAATGTGTTACCGTCCGGGGAAGCTTTCTGCGGTGCCGTAGGTCCCAGGAGTGCCGCGATGTTAGATGATAACTGCAAACAATACGGACAGCTACCTGTCAGAGAGCATTACCACAGTAATATTACCAACATGTTGAAACAGAAGCACCTAGGTCTTTATAGGTCTAGTTCGTTATCCTGACATCTCTGAAAATCTAAAGAAGCCATAGTGAAAAGAATGGAAATCCAGCTGACCACTTCAAATTTATAAGGAAGGAGACAACTCTAATTGTGAATAAAGTTTGTAGTCCATTTACTGCATGTTGTTATAGAGTTGATTGAAAACGTATAGACATGTCTGAAGCAACTTTGAACACGTACCTACAGTCCAAATTGTACAAGAGACCAGATCTGCAAATTAAGGACCACCTGGCCAATGTGACTACGTTTTGACGTCCCTTAGATCATTTCTACCAATGGCGCAAGCATCGAAAATCCTGATGCACCTTTACTCTTAGTGGTCTTCTTGGGCACTTTTCAATGTACAGTACTCAGACTTTGTCCTTAAAATCCGTAACTTGCAGAAACAGTACTAGAAAGTGGTAAGTATACAGAGTGGCGTGTTAGTGGCCAGAGCTAGTCTAGATCTTTTCCCACATTGCTTAAAGAATGGTTTTGTGTAACAATAAAGAAGTCATGATAAGGAAGAAATTGTATCTTTGTATGAAGACGAAAACAGTGATGAAATCATGGGTTTGAGGATGTTAACAGTTTTTTTCGCTAACAATCTTCAGTGACTAAAAAAAGTTTGCAACCAGAGTGGTCAATATCCAGTTTGATTGAACGATACAAGGCGTATATTTGCATGTTTAGGCATGCCTTTTTCCAGTCAAATTGCAACTAATGCGCCAGGTGTATAATGACCACTATCTGTCAAGCAAAATGACAAGGTTTCAAGACGCAATTGGCAGTTCCCCCCATGGTAGGCTATTTGGAGCATTATCGACAAACCGTGAGATTAGATTCTTGTAAAATATCCTTCTTTAGGCTTTAAGCCAACCCATTGGAGAAAACTCGGGATTGTCTGCATTTCAATAAGATTAAGGTGGATGTCGTATGGAGGATGATTATGGTATCTTAATGTTGATTCTTCGTTAGTACGTCTTGATGGTTCATGGTCACAGTGTTTACCCCCGAGACTGATAAACAATAAACACTGCCTCATTTACTTTTGAGTACGCTCAATAGTGGAAGCCACAGACGCACTCAAGTGACAAATAGTGACTTCATGAATCCAAATATAACTCCAATCCAAACTTGGTGATTCCTAGCATTGTTTGCAAGTTGACGGAAAAGTGTTTCACACAGTGATCAACTTCGACACAAATCCCTGAAAACACGCCAGGATTCTCCATTAGAGAAGCGAGCGCCGTTGTCCAGCTTAGACTCCCTCTGTACTGCACTGTGATTCGACCATGATGACATGTAATAGTGATGGAATAGACTGTCTATGGACCGAGAGTGTTGAAAGGGTTATAAAAGAAGGGATGAAAGACGTTCTATCACCAAGAAAGTTTGAGAACTTGGCGCATCTTTCTCAAGAAAGATCTTTGAAGCGTTTGAAGTTCGCTAAGAGCAGCCATAACCATTTGCATGGCGCCATGTTTTTCAATCCCTCTTAATGGCGTTCTTCGTTTGAGCAAAAGCTGCCGGTGCTAACGAACTTTCATTAGCGGCGCGGTTTTGAGCCCTCCTCTGAGCTGACGCACATTCCACGCTCTTGCGTTTTTCGGACGGTCCGCAGCAATCCTCTAATGACTTGCGGTCGTCCTTTGTTTGCTTTGTTCGCATCCTCCGCAGCGGGTTCAATCAGCGAATGTTGCTTTCACGGAGATGAAGTATCGAAACAGCATACGCCTTCCATTTGGCGGACAAGAGATGAATTCGCTCGCTCATTTACAAGACTGTTATAAAACCGCAGCTTTAGAGAGGCCGACTCTCTTCTTCTGCCTAAGGGCACCCTCCGTCCCTTTGAGACTACATTAACATTTTAAGTGGAAGACTTTTTGATTTACATTTTGGCTGGGAAATGGGAAGGTAGCCATTAGACTAGTTGGTTCTGCACCACAGCTCTAGAGGGAGCAGCCCTGCGCCAGACTCCCCCGCGATCCGGCCAAGCAAACGGTAAGTTGTTTGGTTACCTTTTGGGCGCCGGGGGCAGAGTGTTAACAGCCAGGCACGACACTGAAGTTCCTCTGCAGGAGTAAGGGTGTAAACGAATGGGCTTAACTTACAAACCCTGCCAGTTTGCCATACTTTTTCCTTTGCTTTAGATGCCCAGTTTGCTTTAGATGCCAGTTCTATGATTAATAGATCGTTGGTTGACAGATAAAAACTTGTTTTACATGTAGATATGGAAGTAAAGGTTCAAACATATGGTCTTATAAACCCCCAAGATTTTTGCTTTAGACTTTGTTTTATAATAGATGGTTTCATCGTCAGGTAGTTGCCTTTCTGTTGGGTGACAGATTAAAATTTGTTTCAGATACAGAAAAAAGGGTTTGCACATATGGTCTTAAAAAGTCCAAGACTTTTGCTTTAGATGCTCAGTATTTTGTTTAATAGATAGCTTCATCATCAGTTGCCTTTCTGTTGGGTGACGGATTAAAACTTGTTTCAGATACGGAAGAAAGAGTTTGAACATATGGTCTTAAAAAGTCCAAGACTTCTGCTTTAGATGTCCAGTACTGTGGTTAATAGATGGTTTCATTATCAGTAGACTCTTCGGTTTCTGTTGAGTGATAGATTAGGACTCTTATATTAGGTCCTTGGCCCAGAATTAGTCTGTAGTAGTGAACATTTGTGTATTCTTAGTGTTTTCCTAATTTCTACATAGTTTTAAGAAGTTGGGGAAAAGGCATTTAGATAGACTGTTCTTGATGGAAGTTTGGGTGTTTGATGTACTGGGATATCCAGGTGCTTTATGTGGAGGGCTTGCTTTTTAAGCTTCTTTTTCCCCATGGCCTGCCGCTCTGATGTCGTTACGTGAAGTCCTCTTTGGACGTAGGATTCGAACTTGCATTCATGGATGCCTCATTAAAGCGGAAACCAGTTGGAAAAACACACCTTCTCCCTCCGTCCCATTGCGTCCCCTCCTTCCCGTTGCGTCAGCAAGTTCGTAGGATGCGGCTATTAGGAAGAATCATCTTGTTTTTTGATGTCAGATCCAATTTGGCGTAATTGGATGAAGCAGGGCTGGATGCCGTGATGGCTTTTGTGCACACTTTTGTCGCTGGCGGGGGAAGCGCGGCAAAGGAACAGGATCCCCACGGATGACCAGCACGAAGGTGGCCACCTGAGACCTCGGCCAATTCACCCAACATTCAATAGCCTCTGTCGGTGTCCTTATATAATTAGACAAGCCTTTTGTTCTCCTATCGGCCTCAAATTGCTGTCTCTTCAGAAACATCTGGGCTTGGCTACAACTTAAAAGAGCTGATCACAGTTTGCTCCCTGTCTGCATCATTTGGCGCTGTCAACTGCAGCCGGGAGGAGGGCCCGCATTTGGAGAGGAGTCCGTGTGTGTGTGTGCGTGTGTATGGCTCAATTTCATCACTCCTTGTATCGCTTTAATTTGTAGTACCTCCAAGCAGATGTTGAGGTAGGAAATTGTGTTTCTGATTAGCTAGCTTTTCTGACAGTGCTTTACTCCAATTGTGATGCCTTTCGGACAGTCTCTACTCTGGTTGAAGGATTGTCAGTATGATGACTTTCTACCAAAACATTTGCTCAGAGATAAATACTTCCTTCCTGGAATTTGATTGAGGTCTTTCCTGTGTTTTGCCATTTTATTGCCCAAAGTTTCCGCACAGAGAGGAGCTCAATAGGCTGATCCAGCCGTGCACTCCGCTATCAAATTGGGCGCTTCAACCCAGCAGGAAGTTTTGTCTCCCATTTCGCCGTACTTTTCCCGGGCTGCGTTAGGGTAATAACGGCTGGCCCTTACGGGTGTACTCCACGTCGAGAGAGTACCCGCCCCGCTGTGTCATCGTTTGCTAGCAATTGAATTTGACTGGTCAAGAGTCGGTGAAATTGGCTTGTTAGGCCGGAGATATATGTCCCACTGAAGCCAATTTGTCAGGGTTATAGCGCGGATGATCGATGGCTTGTTACCGCACATGTAGTACCTCCGCAAAGGTGGCCCGTAATTGCTAATCCAACCGACATATTGAAGTGGTCCAAGGTTAAGAATGCACGTTCCATCTTTGGCGACACTCTTCACACGGCCGTTTGATTTGTCAATCGACGTGTGGGCAATATTGTGATATCCTAATGTGTTTGCAGTAACACCTCTAGCCTGCAAGGGGCAGAGGCCTTTTATGCTTGTTGTGTATGCAATAATTTTTTAACCAAAATTTCTCAATGTACATGTATAGAAAGGGTAAGATTGTGTAGTATTGCAAAAATGCTGGTATCATCAGTGGTGTGGCAGATTAAAATCTTGCCACAGTGACTGTCTGTCACCTTCATCAGGACAATTCTGACTGGTTCACATTGTACAGCACAGGTGTCACTGAAACATCGGCTGAACAAAACACATGGTTGTGTAAAAAGGGTCTCTTTATCCAGTGACTTACCAATCTGATGAAACTATTCACAGATTTCAGTGGACATGTTTTACATGTACATTGGTGTTGCAATATCAAAGGAGATCAACAAGAGATGATTTCCACAATACAGTGAACATATCATCTGTCTTTCCTACCACAGCCAGTGAAAGATTTGCTCTTCAGTGAGCAAAACTCAGTTTCGAGACATCTGTTCACTTTTTTTGTTTTTGCTGAAGAATATGGAACTTGTGTTTCCCTGCAGGCATTCCAAGGCCACGACATCCGGCTGACTTACCTCCAATGTACGCCATTCCGCCAAACCAGCTCCCCCAGCTTGGGCCGTCATACCCAAAGATCGAAGAGTACCATTCCCAAGCACTATGGTGAGTTTTCAGACTACGGTCTTTCGTGTGTCAAGTTAGGTTCTCGATCAAAGTGAAGTACCGTAAATTTGCCAACCAAAAGTTTGAAGTTTGAAATGCAAATGGTGGTTTTCTCGAATGTCGAGCCCTGAAAGTGTCCAATAACTTCTGTTTTTCTTAACTTTGGATACCTTGGTGAAAATGATACCAAGCCACTTCTTAAGACCAACCCAGAAACATACTGTTAAGCACTTAATGTTTATGGTAGCAAATTTTCACGGTCTGAGAAAAATGGAGGTGTCATATGTTTATGGTGGCAGCAGGTGAAGAAAAATAGAAAGTCTGCAATTGATTTGTTAGCGGTAATGATAAGTTTGCAGTACAGAAGTGACTGTGAAAACCGTGAACATAGAAGTTCCACGAAAAAAACGAGGAACTACAGAAATGTATAGGACTGATGGAGGTGACTATTTCCGTACTTCGCAGGCAGAGCCAGGGTGTTTACCCCATCAGTGCAGCTGGGTACAGACACCCCTACCCGACGGCCATTGCCGTCAATGCTACCAACATGCCTAGGTAAGTGGAAGTACTTGCGAAAGATTTTTTTAAAAAATTCTAACGACAATGTGAAAGATTTAAAAAAAATGCTAATAACAGTCATTCCTGCCCAAGTGACCACCTCCTTAAGCATGCCATGACGACTTTTTTTCGTGGTCCCTTTTGAGCTGCATCTGTTCAAGAAGACCATAGATGGACTTGTTTTGTGGGGTGGTCTTCTTGAACAGGTTGGACTGTAGTGTTATACACAGTCTCTCTCCAGCATATGTCTTATCCCTGGGCAGAATTTCGAGTGCACTAAGATTCGTCCCTTCTCTTCCCAGGACAGTAATCAAAATTTATGACATTGTCATCTTGTTTTCAACATTGCCACAGAACTAAAATACATGAACCATTTGAAATTTGGATATAGAATTAAATCTTTTCCTCTGAAAATGCAGGACATGGCATTTTGGAGCATAAACTAGGTACCATCTACGCTTGACAAGGAAAGAGCCTTGCTTTTTGTCAAAGTCCAGGGACAGAGAAAAGTTTTAGCTGGAAAGGCTGGAAACAATTCAAATGTTCTTTGTAATCAGACTCAGAGCATGATTTTAGTACGCACAATTCTATTTGCAAGAAACTGTGTAAGGTTATGCAAATTTTATGCAATATTGTAGGATGTATATTGTGAATGCAATAAAAAGCATTCCATTGCATCATGTTGAAGGGGTGTGATTTTACAGTGCCTCATATAAAAGTTTGATGGTATTTTAGGCATGTATTTTATGTGTTGAACCAGGGACATTTTCTTAGTAGGAAATGTGGTGAGATATTTGACTACTAGTATATTAGGATTGGCAGAACACACCAACATTTGTCTTTTTCTTGTCCAAATCTTTTCCTGATTCCAAACTTACATTTTTTCCTGCCTGAATTGATTTACATTGTAGTATTTGATGTTTGTCGAGTTGTTTTATTTGATTTAGTTTGTTATCTATGCTTTAATATTAAAAGATTAGTACGTTATAGTATTCTGTTCTTTGTGTTGGTGTATTTAAGTCCAAAAACATTTTATTATATTTATTTTTGAGTTTGAAAGAGATACGGTTTGTCCATGCTTGAAAATTGAACGATTACTTTAAGCACTGTCATGTTTGGTTCTTTGTGTTTGTTTGTTTGTTTGTTTTCTGTGGGGTCTACATGTACCTACTAGTGTTTCGTTTGTGTCCCCCTGGAAGGGAGGAACCAGTAGGACTGAGGGATGAAGCAGGTTATTTCCTTCTCGGCAGGTACCCGGTGCTGCAGCACCCCCACCACCCAGGCATGCCGCCCACGGGGATCCCCCACCCCGCCATCGTCAGCCCCCACGGGATGAACCTCAAGCACGACCCCTCACAGATGCATCAAAAGTACGTCACTGTCCTGTGTTTGGGTAGAGCCATGCCTCAAAAATCTTATATATTTAGTCTTAGGAGCTCCTGTACCTTCCAGAGTGTTCTAGTTCTGTCTGCAAAAAGCATAAATCGTATCCCACTGCCAGCAAAGCGGGAATGTCCAAAAGCTGTCCTTATATTTTATTTTGACAATCAAAAACAGTAAAAAAAAAACAAGTGCATCATCTGGACCCCAATAGCAAATCATATACCAAGACCCAAAGAAGTCCCACCAGTTACAGCTGCGAACACAATAACATTGACCAAGACCAAGAACATAGCCCTTCCATGGAAGGATGTCTCCTTCCTGGAGGTAAAAATGGACCAAACAGCAAACCTAACAGGTAGTTCATGTCACCCACCCGGCATTTGCTATCCTTTGGCCTCCAAGTTAGACCCCCTTTCCCATAGACAAAATGTTGCCTGTCTATCCCTCTTTTACATGAAATTTTCCTGGTCATTGCTCTGCAGAACTCACCCAACTAGTTCCACCACTCAGAACTTTTAAGCGTTCTACTAGGTTCTCCACTAGCTCACACAACTTCACCGTCCAAATTCCTTGTCCGAAATCTTTTTACAGTGACAGTTTCTTTCCCCGTACGGCCAAGCTTTGGAATTCCCTCCCTGACAAGTGTTTCCCACCAACCTACAATCTAGAGGCTTGTAAATCAAACGTTCACCGCCATCTCCTGACATAGCCATGTTTCTCTCATATTTCTAGTTCAATACCGAGAAGTGGTCGTATAGGCCTTGCATTGAGCCACTCCGTAAAAAAAAAAAAATTCGTAGAGCTTCGCACTGTCCAAAAGCTACCCCGTCTTCTGTTAGCATTATGAGTGGAGTTGGTGACTTTACGTAATGCTGTTTGGAGATTAACACCAGAAACTTTTTCCCCGCTTCTTTTGAGAAGTGAGACTCCTCAACATCAGACGTACGACCTCACAAGTGGGGGAAGAGATAGCCACGATGAAAAACGGCTGCCCCTTCAAAGGAAAAACATTGATTTGTCATTGTAATGGACGTCGGACGTATTGAGGGATGGGATAGATTGGGCGGGGTAATTAGGGTGCACAGCCCTAGGGAATTTTGTCCATTTCCACGCATCTCCCCCGCCTGTGTCTAACCCTCGTTTGGTGTTTCTCCGATGGCGACTCGCCGGCACCGCGCATCGCCCATAAATGACAGTCTACGAAGGTCAAAGGTTAACTCGTTTTAACTCAGAGTAAAGTGATCCACAGAGTGCAACATTTTTTTTTTCATTTGATTTTTTTTCATTATATTTAACGTATATCAGGCAAAAAGCACAATTACGCCAAAAAGCAGTTACTTAAGCAACTGGATAATGATTTTGGAAACAGTTAGATGTTTCAGCTAGTATCAACTAGCTTTAGTCAGTGACTGCACAATTGCTTATATAATGCCTTCTACTCGAGAACATAAATATAAAACAAGAGTGAAACACAATGACAAAATACATACATAATTACAAAGTGGATAAAACAAAAATCAATCTTCTGCTTTTTCACTGCCCTCATTTCTAATTTTGACTGTGTTGTTCCAACAACAAGTAAAATGATCAAAGATGAACATGGTAGTTTTCTCCTCTGGTTTTCCAATATGAAATCCTTAGGCCATCTGTCAACTTCGGCAGTGTACACACACGAATGTTTGCAAACTGTTAAGTCTTGTTATGCTTCTCCCCTTTTGAGATTTACTGGACTGGCTTTGGAATTCAGCAAATTTTTTACTTACGAGTTGCTACCTGTTAACCTAGAAAACTAACAGAGACTTGTACAGAGGAACTTAACAGTACACCAGATGCTGAAAAGCATAACCAGCTAATGGACTAATAGTAATACATGCACCATATGATACATTACTGGAGCACAAACAAGGTGAATTGTTATGATTTGATATGATAGTGGACAGCCTTGATAGCGAACACTTCAAGGAAAAAGTTCTGGTGAATTCTGGTGCATTCTCCGTCCAACTTTGGCGGCACTATTGTCATTTTGTGTACTCAAGACTACTACGATCTCTTTCTAATCCTTAGTTCTAGTTCTTAGTTCTTTTGTGTGCATTTTCAAGTGAAAAATGAGCAAAATGAAAACTTTTTCTTAACAAAAATAACAACATGAAAACAAATGGCTGAGAGGAAAACTTCTCCATATTCACTCCCTGGAGCTGTGTGTACTACAGTGTTCTCGCCAGTGTCCAGCTTTCTGTCATTTGACGGAATTTTGCCACTTTCGGACAGAAAGTTTGTTCAATTGGTCATCTTTTGTGGACAAAAATTGGCATGTTAAGATAGGTAAAGAGATGTGATTAAACTCAGCTAAGTCTACCAGCACAATTTGCCCCTCAAAATGCAGGAAAATATTGTTTCAGACGGTCAAAATTTCAAAACTTCACAGGAGCAAGCCTCAGGACCTCCCTAGAATTGTCACAAGATGACAGAAACTGGCTAGAACACTTGTGTTACACACACACACACACACACACACTAAAGTACCCAGTTCAGCATTATTTTTAACATCCAGGAAACAACAGTTACATAAATTGGTGTGGCTATAGAACATTTCCTTTAGTTCTCAGGGAGGTAAACCTGAAGGAAAGAAGTTCTCAGAAATGGAACATTCTAGCTTGACGTATTGGCCCCATAAAGTTAGTTCTTCCCAAAGTCGCACAAAGTGTGGTCGAGAATTAAGCTGCGGAGAGTACCCCCTAAGACAGTGATATAATACATGTTTCTGGCATCTCAAATCTCTGTTTCCCTCCCCGCAGGCAAGACCAGAAGAAAGAGCCGGAGAAGAAGAAGCCACATATCAAGAAGCCTCTCAACGCATTCATGCTGTACATGAAAGAGATGAGAGCGAAAGTCGTTGCAGAGTGTACGCTAAAGGAGAGCGCGGCAATCAACCAAATTCTGGGAAGAAGAGTAAGTGTCTGGGGGAGATTGGGACCAGAAGTGGTTTGTCTGCGGAGATAATGCCGCAATCTGTGTAAGGAGTGTTCTGGTTGGTCCGATAAGGCGGAGAATTTATGGTAGGATGTGTCTGATTGGCCAGATAAGGCTGAGCCAGAGTGGCAAGTGTGTACCTACGTGAAAGCTTTTTTTTAGGTAAGTTTATCCCAGAAATGGTTGATAAGTTTTGATGGAAGTGGGGAATAGTTAGCTTGTAAAGTTTCATCATGTATAATATACATTGTAACAATTTACTAACAAAACCTTTCTATTCAGAAGAGTACAAAACAGAAAGAGGAAAACTTCTTTGTCTGTAATAGGACTCTTATGTCTGTGAAAGGTATCGCTGAAAGCTACTTTTCCTCAAAGGAAATAACATTTTATGTTACAGATAAAATGTAGCCATGTGCTGGTACTGAGGAGAAATAGGTTACTTTGATAAAGTATTATCGGAATCATGATTAAAAAAAAAAACAGTTTAAACGGGTACAACACAAAAGTAGGCTCTTCAAGTTATATTCAACTTTAGTCCATGTTTGTTTAGAATCTGATGAATAGAAAGAGCACTGGATACATTTTGTAGGTGCAAAAGAAATACTAGCGGAGGCTGACAAAAGAAATTTTAACAAATTCAGAGGAATTAAAAAGTCCCTGTTTGAAAACTTTCAAATCCTAAAATGCCAAGTACTTGCTGAGACTTGCTTTTGACACCAGCACCATCATTGCTTACTCACACCAAAAATCAAAAGAAAACCAGAAAAAGAACTGAAAAAGATACTTTTTTTCTCTTATTTGTCTCAAATTTCCGGTGCTAGAGACAAGACAAGCGGTAATGAATGGTGGTACAAATGACCATACGTCTCTGTAATGGCCCCGGTGGTATCCAGGGTGAATCGGCCGGCCAGTTGACAGGATTGGGCCGTTACTTTGTGCGCTCTGTTCCGCCAGAGCACATTCGGCCTAAGACTTGCTGTGTGATAAGATCTGGACGTCTCTGGCATGAAAGGGGCAGATGGCACTTAATGGTACCATTCCAACAGGAATGACTGGGACCCGGCTTTTAACCACCTCACAAAGATGACTCCCTCGATGTCCTTATAGTCTGCCCGGAGGGGCGGACTCCATCTTAATTTTTCACTTTTCATTAAGCTGCTATCTGAGCGCTCTTCGCATCGAGGTCTGGCCGTCACACGGGCGCTCCGCGGTGCTCCCGACCAAGCCAGGTCGTGATTTGTTTGTGACTTGGGGCGCGCCGCGGTCCAAGTGCCCACTTTGTTACAATGCACACACAGAGATAGAGAACATATTGTTTGTCACCGTAAGTTGTCTATCTGTCTACCTCGGGAGCGCTACATTAAGTTGGAGCCGTGACCTCCCCCTCCCGAGTTGACATATATTGTAGTAAATGGGACTTTTTGCCTGGAGCGCTAACATTCGGAGTTTGTCAGGCCCGACGACAAGTAAATATGCCTGCTCCGTAAAAAGGGCCCGGCAGTTTCAATAAATTGCTGCTGTGGCCACTGGGACTACGCCAAAGTGGGGCACTTGTTTATTGGCCGGCCGCGATACGTAGATCTCCTATCAGCCCGTTGCAAGGGAGCAGCGCTTGCTTCATGTCCGTAGTTTCGTGTTTGAAGAGAAGTCGGACAGTAATATGCCAAATTATTCAGTCCAGTGAGCAGGATAGGACACCTTTGTACCCGTAGACAAATTACGGGATTAGTTTGGGACAACCGATGATGACTTCAACCTTTATAAGGCTGGTGGTACTCTTTTCTCCAAACAGAAAAGTGCTGCTGACTAAAACGTTTGGAATGCAAAAAAAAAGGGCAGTTTTGCCAGAACTTTTCTGAATTAGAGTGATTTAGTCTTTGGTTAACAGTAATGATACATTGTACGAATCCAAAAATACATTGTAAAAAAAGACTCTTTTGTAAAAAAAGAGTTTATAAGACGAAGTGTTTTCCAGAAAGCAAGTCTCAGCGTGGTACTCATTTTTTTCCACACAAAAAAGTGCTGCTGACTAAAACATTTGGAACACAAACACAAAGGCAGTTTTGTCAGATCTTTTCTGAACGAGAGTGATTTGATCCTTTGGAAGCAGTAATGATGCATTGTACACGAATCTCAAAATACACTGTAAAAAAAGAGTTTATAAGACGAAGTGTTTTCCAAAAAGCCAGTCTCAGCACAACCACCACCTTGGGAGCTGTTTAAAGCCATAACAAGTGACCTTGTAGTTTACACCTCGCGCATGTGTGAGCCCAGGGACAGGGAAACAAGCTGTCCTGCTGAGGGCCACGACTCGGAATAGTTTAACATGCTCCTGATGGGATTTCCATGCATTCGGAACTGTAGGACTTCACCAATGACCTGGAATCCCAATTCATACTTACTTTACACGCTGAATAAAGCTCTAAATTGCTTACTTATACCTTCAGGTCTCTGGGGTAGAAGTCAGTGTCGTGGTTCAAAAGCATCTAATGCAATTTCAGGATGGAAAAACAAAAAAAAATTTTCTGGATGAGGAAATCTGTCTTATATTAACTTTAACTGCCATTTCTTAACAGATTTACTGATTTTATGGGACATACTTCAATTTTCTCTGTTCGTGAATTGTAAGCTGTTTCGGTGAAATTAAAGTAGTTTCAAGAGTGAGGCACTCTAGATCTATTAAAGAAACAGAAATCAAGAAATGAAAATCCACTCTGACACACACAGTACCTGTAACTTCTCTCAACATTACATAGACCTGGTTTACAAACATACAATCCAGCTACTATTGTGGTTTTTTCTATATGTATCTGAAGGGGATTCTTGCATGCCTTCTTAATGTTATGATATCAATAATGTTAAAGTTTGTTAACTCATGTTGATTCATCTGTGTTTTAATTTATTGTTTTGTTATTTGCTTGTTTTTGTTTAATTGTTGGGAAGGCCTCTGATAGATGATAGTGGTCTCTGTCTTCCCCCCTAACACACTCCTCTGTACTTTAACTTTGTACTGTATTTTCAAATGTGCAAATACAATAGGCCATGAGCCTGAGATAAACAATGGATGAATAAACAAACAAACGTTTTTTTGTTTGTTTGCTGCAGTGGCACGCCCTACCGCGGGAAGAGCAGGCGAAGTACTACGAGCTGGCCAGAAAGGAACGACAACTCCACATGCAGCTTTACCCCGGCTGGAGTGCCCGGGATAATTACGTACAGGTTCAACCCCCATGTTATCGCCTTTTCTGAAGTGCAGTCACTGACAAATATCGCAACAAAGGGGGCATGGATCCAGAGAAGCGCAACCCTCCTAATATTTCCTCGTGGCTGTTGATGGTCTCTAGCGCTGTCCTTAAGCCATGGAATAAACATACTGCACCACTTTGTCCACTTTCAAATTTAGGGTGGTCTTTCTTTCATGTGCAGCTTTACTTTCGTTCATCACAATTCACCTGTTCTTGATGTACAGTACCACCTTGCTAGAAATTTTAGAGTTTTAGCAAGTGGGACTTGGGAAGTTGCAAACAGGAGTGAAAAGGAAAGGGTGTGTTTGATGTCTTACTGTTTGGTTTTGCTTCTCACCCTGATCCAAGTGCCCTTTGACTTTTGTCTGAGTTGTAGTACTACAGACAACTGCAGGGGTCGAAATTGACACTACAGGACCTGTCCCAGATCAGTCAGATCTTACTGTGGAACAAATTATTTCTTAGGGAAACCCCATCATGAACTGTTATATGTCTCGTTGCGTGATGTTTAGGATTTACGAATCAAACTTAATCATCTTCCACTTCCCTTAACAATTTGTTGGAACCAATCACAGTATTATTTTTTATTTACCTTTCAGTAAATTGACATGCATTACAGGTATTTCGTTCGGCACAATTTGGCTTATCAAACAAGCAAGCTATGTTGATGATGATGATCAAACAAAATGTTACAACTCCAACAAAACAAGACAATTTTCTCTGAAATGTAACCAGCGGATGATGAGAATAAAATGCAGGTATTGAAGCAAAACAGCAACCAAAGAATAGAAGAGCACAGTAATTTTACCTCCATTATTATCATTCTGGGATTTGGTCCGTAGAAGAACAGTTTTAACCCCTGCGATTACAGATCCCACCAGTTGATTTAGACGGGTCTGAGCCGACACAAATCTCTGTCTCACAAAGACACAATATTCCACCGTTCACGACAACAAAACGCGAAGATTTGGCGTCTCGATTCGCATAGGTCGGTTGGCCAAGAACATCAAAGGAGAAAGAAACTACAAAGGAGTGTATATTCTTGCTTTGTCACATTGTAACAGGCCATATGTTAGGTACGTGGCCTACTATCATATGGCCTGCTATGGTGAAGAGTACATTTGAAAAGAGGCTCATAGTTTGTCGGTGACTGCACTTCAAAGTTGTAGCTGGGGGGCAGATTAGCGACTTGTAAGGCCCGTTTGCCTTTGATTTGAATGTTCAAAGAGTAATTGTCATCCCCATCTGTAGAATGCTTTTCATAAATTTTGATTGCTAGCCCCTTTTTCTATCAGATTCGTTCGGTTTTGTTTTTTCTGTTGCAAGTCGCAAATCTGTGCCCCCCATGTAGTTTTAAAAAAGGACCACGCCCTAGCAAGAGCAAGCACTATCAACCTCTTTCTCTATGTGAAAACTTTCATCAGTTCAACAAAGAATGGTACAGACAGTTCGCTTTGAAAAATATGGCTACTGTCATATTAATCGTTTTTGGCTGTAAAACTTGGTAGTTATTTTGCTGAAGAACTGAAAGCAAAAACAATTTTACAAGGATGCTCTTACGGACGGACTATCATTTGGCTACTTGCAACACTTCATTTTTTTGTCTGATGTCTATAATTTTGTGGTAAATGATGCACTGCTCTTGTTAGGATGGGTCCATGTAAGTGCATGATGCATACAAGTATTTACCAACTGAAGTAAACAGCTTTGCAGTAGTGTTATGATAGTAGAAACATCTATAGCATGCCATTCAGTTGGGTAAAGTAGATAATGCAAGGAGGATCAGTCAAGTTTTGTGTCCATATTCAGAAATCTTTATTGGCACAACAAAAGTACATGGACTTACACAGCATCTACAACTGTAAATGTTGCCTACAAAGGAACAAGAAACACATTCGAGCTGAAGTGTCCTTGAAGTTACAATACTTGTCGTCTTGTTCAAAGTTTTACTTCTTTATATTGCTGAGAATTGACTGATGTTCCAAGACATTTAGTGATTGCATCAGACACACTTGCATGAAGTACATGTAGTTGTGCATGGAAACCACAGTAGTGAAATCTAGAGATAGTGTTGTTGTTGTTGTCCACCCTTATATTTGCTGCATTTTGTACAACAGTTCCTACTTTTTGTTGTGCAGTTTCTGTCAGGTACTAGAGATTTGAATAATATTTTTGCAGTTTTTTCTATCATCGCTCATTTAGCTCCTTTACAAGTTCATGAATAATGAAGACAAACTCTGACACAAGTAATTCTTTCAAGTGAATGCTTTTTTTGTCAGAAGTGTAGTGAGTTTTTTTATAGCAAAATTCTACAATGGATACTTTATTCTTTTATGATTATTCTTTTTTATCAGTTGTCACAATCTTGAAAGGTAGTTCTCTTAGTGTCTTATTTATTCAAGTCTTCTTTTGCCACTTGGTTCTGTTGCAAGAAAAGAGATGAAGCTATTTGTGTCTTTGTCAGAGCATTAGAGACTAGGGTAGGCTTGCGTTTTGTCATATGTTTTCTCGAAAGGAAAGAAAGATAGCCTTGATGTAAAAATGTCAGTTTTAAATTGCCTGTATTACCCAGTCTGAGATTTTACCACACTCTTCAATGGAATAGTGGGGAGGAATCTCAGGTAGCCTCTCAGAATATTTTTTTAAGTGTAAAACAAAAAGTACGTAGAGACGAAAAAACAAAGTGGACAGACAAATTCTTCATTTATGCTGCCATGCTCTCCCTCCTTGCAGGGGAAGAAGAAGAAGAGGAAGCGCGACAAGCAGCAGGGAGACACGTCGGAGGTGTCCAATCCGAAGAAGTGCCGGGCGCGGTTCGGATTGGATCAGCAGCAGGCCTGGTGCAAGCCTTGTAGGTATGGAGCGGACGAGTGGCGTGAAAGCCCCATTTTGTTCTGTTTCTGTTTGCCGGTTTGGACTGGAGGTTTTAAGGCACAGTTCTTACGCCTACTGGTTCTGTGGTGTGTGACGAGCTATGCGCAGGTTAACAAGGATTGGTTAATCACTGCCATGGTAGCAGCATCACTCTCCTTCCGAATGCTGCTTTTCGATAATAAAACAAAAAGAAACAGCACGCCTGTCCAACAACAAAACAATCATTTTCTGTTGTTTGTTGAGAGTGCAAGAAAACTTAGACTTTCTAATCTGATCTAATTTGATACATCGAAACAACTTTAAAACTCTATTCTACTCTTTATTCAATGATTCTTTGTTAGTCCTTGAAATTTCACATTCAAAGTTGTTGCTGTTTCTTACTTGACGATCTCTTTGCAGGCCTGGCTTCTGTTGTAACTTCTTTGATTAAATCTGTAAATTTGGTCCTCTTGGCAATGCATCTGCTCACTCAAATGTGTTACAGAAAAAAAATAGAAAGGAAAAGAAAAACCTTTGCCTTGATACAGTTACCGTGGCATGTCATATTACCGAGGTACTAAGTCTTGTGTGCCATAGCCTTCGTGCAGTTTTCCCAAAGATGCCAAAGCCAATACGTTTGTTTTCCCTCAGAAATCAACCAATTTTTTCTAACCACTTTAAGGAAGAATAGCTTTTACCGGAGAGTCATACTTCGAAATGAAAAATTCTGTACCCTGATTATTTTGCCATCTCTTGGCCTCGAAATGTCTTTCTGTACTCTCAAATATTCTTCCTTAGGACCTTGACTTTAAAGTTATGTTAGCTTTCATGCCACTCATCCACCTTTGAATATAATTGTACTAGCTGTGGTGATAGATGTTTTTGGGGATAGATGTTTTTATTTTTTCCTGTTTTAAATGTTTTTGATGACTTTGCTTTTAGACAGGCCGCAACTGTTAAGAGGGAAGCAGTCTCGTGCTTGTGGGAGTCTCGGTGTTTCTTGTTTTTTCTTTTTTCCTTTTCATGAATTCAATAATGTCCTGCATTTGCTTGTGATGTGGACTGTCTTTGAACTTTTATATTGTAAGCAATTTGTCCAGAAGCAAAACAAAACATGCAGGGATCATGACTACAAATTGTATTACAAGTACTACAGTACACTAGTGCAAAAAGTGCTACAAGATAATATGCAAGAGTTGTCTGCAGCTAAATTTCACTCAAAAATTCTGGCAGCTTTTCATAGTTTGGACAACAGTGTGTAAAGAAATAAAACCTATGTGACTTGAAACTGAAAGCTGTACCAGTGACGACAAGAGCATCTAGGTTTAGTGAACAAGCTGTGAAGCATCTAACGGTACTTTTTGTGTCCTTTTTTGTGAAAATCCTAAACAAAATATGTTTGACTTCTTTCTGTGTTTTAGTCCTGGCATTGCATCTTTGGGATCTCTGTACATAACAGATTTGCATTCAATGTCGTAGGATAACGCTTGAGTGGCTTGTTGTTTGGTGTTGCAATTCTGCCTAACAGTTTGCAGTGTTGGCTTTATGTTGTGCGTGTATTATTTGTCCGGTTTATGTTTGAAGGGGCTTTTATGTTTTTTCTTTTCATTTTTATGTTCCAAAACTTTCCCTATTTTCTCATGTATGCAGGGCCATTTCTGTATCTAGGTGCTCACATCAACAAAAGGTTTCTCTGTTGTACTGGAAGAACTAGTTTTTGGAACAACTCCACAAGTCTAAAATTACCTGCACCAGAGTGTGAGGCAAACTGTAAACTACATGTATTTCTTTATTTCGTACTTCACAGATGGTAACAAACAGTACAGGAATCAAATTCTCAGTTAGGCATCAGAATTATGTGCACAGATACAATTTTTCCTGCACTAACCTGTATATACATTCAGCGTTTCGAGCCCTGCCTCTAAGACAGAAGAAAAACAAGCACCTTAAAGATCCCGGCCCTGTAACATGAGTCCTGTATTCTGACATCAAAGACACTTCCTGGAACCTCAGGGCGTTTTGTGCATGGCAAGATCTACAATTATCTCAGAAGCCTTCAGAAGGAAGAAAAACCATTAAATTTTGATTTATCCAGGTTACAAGAATCGAAGAACAATTAAGATATGGTTTTAACCATCTGGTTGTTTTTGATGAAGCAAATGAGACTACAGTGTGGAAATTGTTTTAACCACCAACTTTGAAAACTGTGTCACTCAGAAGCATTCACAAGGAAGAAAAACCATTAAATTTTGGTTCATCCAGGTTACAAGAATCTACGAACAAACCAGCTATGGTTTTAACCATCTGGTGTTTTGATGAAGCTAATGAGCCTACAGTGTTGAAATTGTTTAAACTTTCAAAAAACTGTGTCAAGATGCTGAAGCCATTTTTTTTATTTGTTGCTCATATTTGTCCTAAATGAACAACAAAATTTTGGCCTTCAGTTTTTTCATCAAGTGTTAGATTTTCACTAACTTCAACCACCTGTAGACCATGTCAGGTTTTAAACAAATCGCCTGCGGAGGAGCTATCCCCGGTGAGATGTCTTTGAGGGATCTCGGAAGTGTCAGATGTTCCCTTAAATTTGAGGGTCCTTCGTTAATTTTCCAGGAGAAAGAAGAAGTGCATTCGCTATATTGGTGATGACGGAGACTCCGACGACGCCTCAACGCCTGGAACCGCCTCGTCCCCGCTCCCGATACCTCAGCAGTCCCCCATCGCCCTCACCACCTCCCCCTTCCCCGCGATCAGCCACACCGCCGCCGACCTGTCCAGCACCATGGCCGGCCCCATCAACCTTAGCCAATCATCCAACGCCGCTACATCCTCAGCTACGTTATCCACGTACGGCTCTGAACTGTCCAAAACAGCGCCGTCCTCGAACAATACGATATCAGTATCAACGCCTTCCGCTGCGTCGGTATCAACCACGTTACCACACTCTACAGGGTCGAGTAGTTCTTCACAGTCAATATCAAGTCAACCAAACAAGTCAACGCCCAACACGTGATCCCAACTTGACCTTGGGAAGCTGTATCATACTTTTGGAGGAAGGGGGGGTGCGTTTGGAAAAGATATTTTAGGTGCCAAAATTCACCTTTAAGGCCATTATTGTATGATGATGTTTGTAGTGTAGATTTTGTGAGCGTGCCTCACTGAGAGAGATCTGTATAGTGCCGTTTTTTTGATGGCGTATGATGTAGTCCTGTGCAACAAGGCTTGTATAGTGTACATAGGTTGTGTAAATGTATGAACATTGTTCCAAGTTGTAGTGCAAAATACCAATTTGATACTGGGTCCTAGTGCATACTATTTTACAAGCGGAATGAATATTGGAACCGTTGTCAGTGTATAACAGGAGGCTAATATTTTTGGCTGTGAACAGATTCAGATAAAAGCCCTTTTCCTCAGCACAGTTGAAATTATAAAAAATTTCCCCCATTTATGGTACAGCCTGATGAAAATCACTCCTCATACCACTAGCATCAGACTGTACCATTATAAAATAAAGGGATCAAAATGTGCCGCTGGAAAAGGGTCTTTATGTGCTGCCTTTAGATTATGTTAGCGGTATTTTTTATGTTTCACCAAAAAAGGAACTCTTGCAGGACAAGATGCTGGGCGTAGTTCAGTTTGCTTACATTTCATGGTAGAGTAACACAAGAGGCTATTAATTTGAGAAATGTAGGATGTGAAGTACTGCACACAAAACTTTCATTTTCTGAGGAAAATGGACTTCTTTCCCTGTCTAATTTAGCTGACATTGTTGTACATTGATCTACTCTCAAATTACAGACCCTAGAGTTGACTCACTGTAACATACGTCTTTTATTCATTGTTTGAGTGAAACAACTTTGAGGTTATTTGGGAAAACTTGAACAATGGCAGCCATTTTGGATTCAGGAAAGACCCAGGGAAGTGATGCATGATGGGACATTGCTCAGATTCCTCAGATTGGCTTCCATCTTACCTTATTTGGTCATGGGTAGTGACGAATTAGAATTTCTAAATGCTAGAAGTATTAGATGCTGCCCAATAGCTGAAGATTTGAATTTCATATTTTTTGTTGCTTCAAAGCTGGTTTTAAGTCACAATACATATATTTTACTTTGAAAAGGAGGCAGCACATAGAAATAGCTTTAATCTGAATTGTCACAGCCACAATAGCATTGGTTTCTCCAGTACCATATTGTATATTCTTTTAGTATTTATTTGTACAATTTCAATGTTGCAAATATTTGTCTTCTTATCCTTTGAGAGATGTGTATGATATTATATTATGTGTGTTGTAAAGCCATTTTCTCTCTTAAGTTGAGAAAAAGTGCCGCAATGCTATGTCAGTGTCAACTCCTGTGTGTAGGTCTTTTATCGAAACTCTTGGTGTATGTTTTATTAATGACTGTTATGTGCTGTATGCAAATGTATGCAAATGCAAGTCTCTTTGTTTTGTCAGAGTGTGCAAATATTTTTTTCCGTTCCATTTTTGCAGGCAACTTAACATGACTTTTAGAATGTTAAATTTGACATGACATTTCAAATGACAAAGTTAAAGAAGTTTAAGCAAGCACTGTGGTAGCTCCAATATACTGGTTAAAATTCACACTAATGCTTGCCACTTCTTACTGTAAATGAAGAAGTTGGCACTACTTAAAGAAAATTCACCAGTTTGTTGTGCTAGTGCTTGTTCTCCCCTTATGAAACAACAAGGATTTAGAATAGCATTTCCTTTTGTTTCCAAGTTGTGTACTAGCGAACTTCCAGATATTATTTTTACACGTACATAATACCTGATTTTTTTTTTTCAAAAGTCATGAGCGGTTGCCTGCAAGCGCTTGGTGGGAAAGTAGAACCTACCAAAGTTGTAAGGAGTTGCCTAAAGTTTGCCTCCCGCGTTATTCTTAGCAACTCTTGTATCTCTGCGGGGATGCTTTAGGGTATAGTATGTGTCTGGATGTACGGATTGGCCAGTATTCTCTGTTTTTTAGAAGCTGCTGCTGACCAACTCAACAAACCTGTTATGTAGTCTGCCTGAGTTCCCCCAACAATCATGACAAAAATTTTGACAATTATCCATCGTAGTTTCATTTTATGTGTTTGTATAGAACAGCAATTTTTTTATTTGCTAACTTCTCGAACAGTGGCTATTTTGACCATGGCAGATTTTTCATCTCGCAACCCTATTTGGAGTATTTCTTTCCATATGTGTGAGCAATACCTGGGAAATGCTCTTCAGATGTTTAACTCATTCTAGTAGGAATGTTTGTATGGAGATTACATGGAAAACGTGCTAGGCTTTTTTGTCTTTTAACGTTGAAGATGGAAACAGGGTTCTCAGGCTTTAGGCATCATTTTCAATGGCAACTCCACTGGCAATTGCAGTATTGTAGCAGGTTTCTTATCACCTATTCAATGTTTTTCTGTCTTTCTTTCAGTTGTTTTGGCTTGGGAAAAGCATTTACTTACGATTACACCAGCAATATTGAAAGAAATCTCTTGAAAATGCTTTTTTTTTTTACAGGGAGTTGGACCTTTTCTCTCTTTTCGGTACATAGTATTGATGTATTTCGATACTATTTCAATTTATGGATTTAAGATCTTTTATCATCCAAAATTAAAGATTTATATGAGAAGAACATTGTAGTCGGTTATGATGAAAACCTGTTACGATTTTTGCAGTTACCACTATTAAGGGTAGCTTCTGAGTGCTGTAGAGGTACTACATGAGCAATATAGCAGCCAGACTACTAGTTTTGTTGTATGAATGCCGTATGTATTTCTGTAATAAAACCCACGCTGGTTGTGAACGTAAACTGCCTTTTTTGTCGATTTGAGGTTGGTCAGTATTACACCCTTTAGAAATGCTACTATAATTATATATAAAGTACTGTATAAGGATAGCCTGGGTACTATCCTGGTTAGTTAATAGTCGCTCCCTCAGTCGCTATGATAGTATATGGAAAAATGACATATAGAATGACATCATCAAATTTGATCTACTAAGGGACCAAGAATTATACTTGCTCTACATGTAGCTGAGGTCATGTCCAATTTCACATTAGAAAAATATGAAATCTTGCTGTGACTTTTAAGCTAACGTTTACAGCTTCGTTTGATAGGGGGTCACAGAAATTATCATTATTGAGTTTTTAAACCTTTTTTTCTCCGAGGAAAATTGTACTCACAAACAGGCTGCCAGATGGACCAAACCCACACCACTTGTTCTCGACACGAAAAGCCATCATCCACAAAAAGACAAAACCATAACATGTCTGCTGCATTACCAAGGTCAGACACCAGGGGGCCCACATATTTAACCTTTGTCTTCCCAAAACCTACCCACATACCAAACATCACAATCCATAAAGGCTTTCTTAGTTATGCTGACCACAAATATGCAGAAACACAGACACACAACAACCAAAAACAATTCTTGTACCTCCATTTTTTCAGGAAGACAACAAAAAGCAATAAAATCTCATATATGTCTTCTACATATTCCTGTCCCAACTGTTGCAGGATGCCTTTCAGTCTGCGAACGTGTTACTGATTGAACTGGAGAAGCAAATCTGAAATGTGCCAACAAATTCCGGCTCAAATTCCTTGTTACATGGCATGTCTGGATTTGAGCCCAGAAAAGATCCAAACGGTCCAAATACTAGTCCAGCAATTTGCCAATATTTTTGTAAAAAGGGTATTATATTGCTGAACATACTATATAAATAACATGGGACAAGGAAGGTGAGGGTGACAGTATTTGAAGGCATCCAATGCAGTTTTTAGGCCTTGGAGACCCGATTTTTCAAAGCCAATATTCTAGCCATTTACCAACATACTGAGTTGAAACAACACTATCCCAATGTATATTGACCATCATGAAGCAAAAAATTCTGACGGAAAATGGTTACTGGAAAGCCTGTCCCTGTGCTGATTTTTAGGTTACCGCCCAGAAAATAAAGGACTCATCTTGGGGCTTGTTTCTGCAGCTTTAAATGGACAAAGTATGAAGTGCTGATTTAAATATGCTCATGTGAAGCAGTATAAATATAATGTGAATATCACAAATATTGCGTTATTCAGAAATCAGAATATTCCAGTTTTGCTCTGAAATCGCATTGGATGGCTTTAATAGTAGCCTGGGTACCATCCTATTTGTATGCCGGGGCTCCCATACCCCTATCCCCTAAGAAATATATTTCTAAGGGGGGAGTATAGGAGCCCCGGCGTACAAATAGGATGGTACCCAGGCTATTTAATAGAGGCATCTAATGGCATTTCAGGGCGGAAAATAAAAGCATTCTAGACGGGGAAATCTGCCTGCGATGATATTGCCATTTCTTAGTCCATTTTCGTAATTATTAATTTTCATTTTTGAAGTGCTTGAATTGAGCCCCCAAAACAAGCCGCGTAAGAAGTACCAATATCTGTGTGTGCGGGTGTGTGTGTGTGTGAGGACCACTCCAGCCTATAGAAATAACCTCCATGACGGGACGTCGACAAAACAAGTACCTAGTAACTTTTCCGTGACATCGCATTTTTGCCACACAGACTTCAGTACTAGTACGCTATTGGAAAGTATTGATTTTGACATTGTATTGTGTGCCTATTATTACTTCACCCGAAAAACTGAGAAGGGCTGTCAACATGTAGTAAGAGTAAGAGTACGTAAGAGAAGGCATTATGAAATGTTTGGCTTCTGATACCAGTTCGAGCGATAGAGCTAAAGTTTTGTAACGCCCAAGCGGATGATACCGTGAAAGAAAAGTTTCATGCCCTGCTAGCTATGCTACATCTGCTTGAATTTACGATTACCAGTTTTCATTTTCGATGATTTCAGTTGCCCGGTGTATGTTGCTGTACATATGTTAAATCGTACCTTAATACATATACTGTCAATTCTTCCAAGAAAGGCGCACTATCAGTATGAAAGGAGGTCGGATAAAAGTGACAAAACCTAATGAGACGGAAGAAAAAGCAGTCTGTTACTACCGCCTACCGACCGCAACGAGTAGTGCAGAATATCGGCAAGTGTTAGAAAATATTTTTCTTCTGCGCAATGGAGAAATTGTAGAAATTATTGTAGAAACTATTTCCTTTGACAAAAAAATCTCATCATTTAGCCACTTTCTTCTATTTTCCTACTTTTTCCTGCCCTCAAAGGGGCCTGCTGTGGCTATAGACTCCTACATGTATTTACCCCACGCTATTGACAAAACTTTAGGTTTTTGTAGATCATGTAATCTTTATACTCCCTATTCGTTACAAAATATCAGTTTCCTTCCAAATCCAAAAAGCAACCAACATCGATCTTTCTCCACGCGTGGTTTAGTACCTGTGGTTGCGTACCAAAATTGTTCAGTCACTTTACAATATCTTTACAAGCATATACACGATAATTTCTAGGATTGTTGGACGTTTTACGTTATAAAACCCTGCAACGGCTGCAAGTTCCAGGTAGGTCCAGATAATTTTCAAGCTGATTCTTTTTTTTCTGGCTGCAAAGACAGTATCAAATTGACCAGGCAGTATCCATTTACCAAGGCCAAAGTTACCGGTACCATCATTTGCTAGCCTCCATCAAGGAGGTAAAATTAAAGTTGATTCCTCCTTGCCCCCACAAGGCATACCTATGGGAATACAGATCGCAGCATTTGGGGAAAAAGGAGAGTAAAAATATTGGCCAGGCGAGTCAGTCTGCGGAAGGTTGATTTTTTTTCCATTCAAAAAAGAGCCCAATAAAAACGCCTAAAACACGCCAAAAATAGGCCGATAAAGCCTAAACCTATTCTTGGAGAGTAGGCAAAAGCCCAGTATACGTAGTCATATCAAATATAACAATTTAATATGTATTTGCAATGAGGTAAAAAAAAAAGCTCCTTGGTCTATGTGTTCAATCCTTAATTGGGTCACTGACACTGTGACCTTTTACCTGTACTCATCGGACAATATTTATAGATGATTATCTTTATGTATCTTTCAGAAAACAAGCCCAGTTCACTTGTTTAGTTGCAGTGATTGCGGACTGTGTATAGTGAGCATTCTATAAACAGTATAATAAATGGGTGCAAATCTACAGACAGAATCTGCCTATTCAGGATGAGTTGTGGACATAGAAGGTATGCATGCGGAAAACGACCCAAATGTCACCAAAAACAACATCAAACAGTGGCCTGAGATGTTTTGTATTTTCACGGGGCGTGAAGACACAGAGCTTGCAAACCAGATCAGCGGAAACAGGCTTGGCGGCATAGTGCTTTTGGCCTTGGGCACCCGGAAACAGATCTTCCTTTGATCTTTGCCGACTCGCGCTTTGATGTGCCGACGTGGGCGTACCGATCGATTCGGACCGCCCCAGCCTCACATTATGCAAATTTGTAGCTGTGATTGACGTGCTATGCAAACTAGATAGTAATATTAGCGGTTGCTAATATAGACAGGTTTGCGTTGTAGTCGTTGTAGTGTAAGTTACAATATGTTTTTTGTGTGTGTTTTACCTTTTACAGAGTTCCTTCTCATCCTTTTCTAATCCCCACTTCACTTACCTTGTAAATAATTTCCTCATCAATATAACAAAAGAACAATAGTTACACCCAAAACAAAATTTCAATTCTTTATGACTTCTCTATGCCCCATGACCTTCAACCTTTTGAGGGTCATACAGGCGTCAACAGCGCCCTCCCCACGCCTTGCCCGTCCGTTTTCGTGGGCAAATTTCTGCTTCCTTAGAGGTTTTGAAACCTAAAAAATCACACCAGGGGAGAAATAAACCACATACGTTATTTTCATGGTCCGATTCTGAGTCCACTAAAATCAAGGAGGGTTTGTGCAGTTACGTCTAGACGTGTCTGACAGGCATGACATTGGGCTTAACCTCAGGTCGCTACGTTAGCGGTGTGATTGATAATAGTTCACCTCTGTCTAATCTGAGGTCAATTAAATTAAAAGACAAGCGGCTTTTCACTGTGTGAACCGTGGGTATTGTACATACAATATATTTTATAGCGGGGTAGCTTGTGTGTGCTGCGACCACTGCGGCCAACCCTTGCTCCCAAGCTACTTCTAACCCATAGTGGGGAGGCGTTCGGCGGGAGTTCGAGCCCCAGTGTTGACAAATGAATTCGTAAAATTAAGGCTAAGTAAACTCCTAGCCTGACTAAATCTGCGCTCCTAGCGGCCGGCCCGGTATTACACCAGTCAATACCGGGCCGGCCGCTAGGGGCGCAGATTTAGTCAGGTTAAACTAAGTAAACTCCTCACTATCTCCAATTACCAATAGAAATTGCTCCTGGACGTCGACGCCGCTCCCTGATAAGGAATAGTTTGCCCGGACAGAGCTACTGTTAATAAGTTATACATACATACATACATACATACCTTACTATTAATCATATATATTCCGGTCATGTACAAAGAGGAATTGACATGGTACCTTTAAATTTCAGGTCGTCTTCATGCAATGCTTCTCAATAAGTTTTCACAAACATAATTTGCAAGGCGTTATACTGTACGGATTTCCCTTCAGATGTACAAAGTAAACTGGAATAGCATGTAAAATGTGCCCTATCCGTCATAGTAGATCCAGGCCAGATGTTTGTCCTTGAGCGCGATGATCGCAGTTCTGCTGTTCAAGGCCGTGTGAAAAGGCACGTTGTTGGGGATGATACAATAACGCTAGCAGGGGAGTATTGTTCCTGTAGAAAGGGTGGGATTTCCCGGCAATAAGACTATAGTTTTTATACTGGTTGTAGGCTCATGATCACGAGACCATGTCTAGAGTATGCGGACATCGTTTGGGCAGGCAGCATTA